AGCACTGTATGCCAGGAAAGCCAATTTTCGGTGCAGGGTACCAGAAAATTGGAGAACATTTGTTGGCTGTTTATCTTTGCAGGAGGCCCTATTAAGGATTTACAGCTGCAGCAACAATTCTGTGTTTGTCTGTGTTGTGCAAATATGTGTTGTGCATGAGGGCATCCAGCAGTTAATGGGCACGCTGCTGACCTTTCCACCGGCTGTTTATCAGACACGTGTTGGAAAATGAATACAGATTGACTACCTGCTACCGTTTTCCATTCTCCTACCTTTCTGTTAGAAGCTGCTGGTGGGATGCACATCTCACACTGGTTTCCATTATCCCAGTAAAGGCCACTGCCAGTCTTGTGCTGACATGGGGGGGGGGTATCAAAAAAGAGCAGTCCCATTATTGAAGGGAGGAAATCCTTGTGCTTCCTTATAAAGGATGTCGAGCTGAGAGGATGTCCGGACCTGTTGGGAAACAAGGGAGCTGCTGTCTTCTCCTCCAATGTGGCCTGGCTGCTATTAGGCAGATTATGTCTGAACAGTGGACATTAAAGACGTACGTTGCAGCTGTACAGACATGATTTACTTCCTGCAGAGGTCAGCCTTTTGCCTTTTATTGATCTGTGTCCATTTTCTGGACAAAGAGCTTAAATGAAATGAGATAAAATAAAGAAGAAATGTGAATTTGGGGGGGAATGGGCGAAGGACCTGCAGCAAAGGGACTTGAACCCATGACCACTGTGTCGGGGACTAGAGCCCTGTACACGGGTCGCCAGCTCCACCAGGTGAGCTGTAGCGGCGGCCCAGTTTGTTTTAATGCACTGGAATATGACATTGATTGGACATTAACTGAATTCTGCATAAAGACAACACAAACGATTGGCAGGTTTGAGGAACATTTATTTCCTCATTTGCATTTTACATTCGTTATGCAGATGATAGATCCAGTGAAAGAGCAGAGGACTGACCGGAGCTGGACAGGTTCTGGTGTTCTGGCTCCAGAGGACTGACCGGAGCTTGACAGGTTCTGGTGTTCAGGCTCCCTCAGACAGGCTCATGGCAGCCTGGCCTGAACCTACAGCTACTAATTCAAAGTTCCAGTTAAATTCACTCACAAAGTCACAACAGAAGGTCTCTGATCATCCTGCAGCCACTTTCCACACGCGGTAGGATCTGTACACACGTCAGCATTTTACTGATGTTACTTTGATAACTATGTGGAGCAGCGTTCTTCGGCTAACAGCTTTTGACCAGTGACATGTTGTGGGTTTACAGACTCCATCAGGACGTTGCCCGGTGTGGGACTGACTGGGGGCTGCATCGCCACTCTGTCCTGGTCTGTGCTGAATCTGGAACTCCACCAACGTGTGTGAAGGCCAGTTCTCACCTAATGGAGCTCATTAGAAACCACTAACGGTCCTGATCCCTGAACACTTCTGTGTCAGCTGTAAAGTCATGGATGGAGAATAGGTGATATTTGCCTTTGGGGGCTAATGTGTGCCATCTTGTGACCCATGTATGACTGATTGATTTAATTAGTCACCACTAATGTATTTATTTAGTCTTGCATTGAGATCGTCCTCCAGTGAGCGTGTGCGTCAGCCTTCTTCTGCTCAACTCATTCTAGAGAAGAATGAAAAAAAAACTGAGCAGTGAAAGCAGAGCCAGGCATGCTGCAATACATGGACAAGAACCTCTAAACCAGGTGCCCAACCTACTCAGACCCAACATCTGCTTTAGCCAACCTCCTGAGGTCTACCGGTCCAGTGTGAACCCACACATGGTTCCAGCCTGCAGTAGCTAACCTCACAACCACTACACAACACAAACCCTCCCTCCCTCCATGTTGAATCAAACTTATATCAGTACACCACGACCACACTCGACCCATCCTACAGGGTCCGTAATGTCTTTGTGTGTACAGTAGGTGGAGATAATGCACCTGAATGTTGGATGCCAACCGCCAAATCAATTGAAGAAGAAGCAGCTAGGCTAGGCTAGCAGCTAATGTAGCCAGCTTCGATGAGCTAGCTAAAAGCTGCACAAAGCTACAGGTACATTCCCCACCGCTGGCCTCTCAGTTACAACAGTCCGATTATCCAGCGCTGCGATCGCAGTACATGTTCCGGTCCGTTTCCCTGCATGTGTTCGACTTTTCAGAGCTGTATTCATTTACAGAGAAATGAAAGTAACGACGAGCATGTAGCCCAAACACAGTAAAAGCACTTCTATTCTGCCACAAATAAACGATAATAGCTATGAACGATATGGTTGGATCACTTTCAGAGCGATCTCAGAACAGCTTCTCTCTGCCTGGGTATGTTTCTGGTCTTTACTATCTGAATGGATACAGAGCTTATAGCAGATGGAGCACACGGTAGCTGCTCAGAATGTTAGCGTTGGTCAATGTGGGCACACACATCTGTATAGTGCAGAAAGACTGGTCCATCAGGGCTAGTTTGGTATCGTTGCTTCATGCAGACAGGCTGGTCCATCAGGGCAGGTTTTTGTCGTTGCTTCACACAGACAGGCTGGTCCATCAGGGCAGGTTTGGTGTCGTTGCTTCACGCAGACAGACTGGTCCATCAGGGCTAGTTTGGTGTCGTTGCTTGAGACATGAGGGGTCTCTCACTAGGACATACCACTCCTTTATTAGCAGTGATTAGAGACTCTGTTTCTTCCTTGGTGTGACGCTGGCTTTACAGATGAGTGTGTCGACTAAAGATGGAAGCTGTGATCACATCTTGTTGGGGGAGGCCTCCTGGCTGGTCCCAGCAAGTGATGGGTGATGTAGGCCAGGGGGAACACCCTCCTTAGCTTCACGCCTACCACTGAAGGTAACTGTGTCAGTCAGTGGCATGATCATAAATTACGATGAACACCTGCACGGTGCTGAGACGGTGTTGCCTGCTGGGAGCCGGGCTTCATGGCCATAATGGGCTGGCCTCTTGACAGAGCCAACTATGGGTGAACCCAGCACAGATGGCTGCTCAGTCTGACAGTATGCAGCCTCTTGTCTTGTATTCTTAATGACAAAATCTAGTTAGCATAGTTTCTGTCACTGATCTGTCCATGTTATCACCTACACTTACATTAATGAGCATGTTTGTCAGGAACCTTCTCTTCCTGTTTTCCAGCCGAAGAGGAGAATTTCTGCTGGTGAAAGATGTCACAGACTGCAGCTGTCTCTTGTGTTTGGGCCAGTTTCCTGCTCCTTCTATTGATCTGTATTGATCCAGACCCTCTGCCTGCAGCTGGCGGCCCATTCTGGCTGGTTCTGCCATTGACGTGTTCATTGCTGTAGCTCAGCTTCCTGTAGTGAGGCCATAAACACAGTTCAACACAGCCTTTGGCTTTAGACTCAGGACAACAAATAGAAGTGTTGTCCACTGATTGTTTCAACTTAGATGTTCTCCTTGGCCAGTCAGATGTGTTGCTGTCAGTCCAACGCTGTCCAGATTAATTTGCATTGAAGAACACTTTGAAGCTGTGTGGTTGATCAACACGTTCGTTGGTCTGCTGTAGGATTCTCTACCTGTGTCTCTGTGGCCCATATGGTCCGTCTGAGCAGAGTTCTCCTTCATCTGAACCTTCACACAGCATTCATCTGTATTTGTTATCCAGTCACGGCTGTAATTAATGGGTTGTGTTCAGCGTGTATGCCCCAGACATCACTGATGGACTTAAACTGGGTTGTTGTCAGATGTTGAATTTCTGTAGCTATTGCAAAGAGGAAGATCCAAAGATGTCTTGACAGTGGCACTCTTGTTCACTGCAGCTGGGACTAAATCATGGAGTCTGTCCGTCAGAAGCTGGTTGATTTTTCATTGACCAGGTTTCCTTCAGCAGGCAGCGTGAAGATGCTGTTAGTGGCTGAAGCGGGTCACTGACTCTGTCCTTCAGATGGTCTGGGAGATGAACTGGATTGTGTTTGTGCTTAGAGTCAGCTCAGTACAGTCGTATGAACATTTCATTCCTGATCATCTCTGATGCTGGACTCTTCTGTGGACCTGGTGCTCTGCTGAGCGTGGACCTATCAGGGCTCCAGCACTGTGATGACATACAAGGCTGCACCGGTCCTCACATCAGCTAATTTCTATGTTGCTGCCTTACTGACTGAAGTTTCAGCTGCTCTGCCTCTGCTGTGCCCAAACAGGGCTTCTGCGCTCAGAGGAGATGTTTGCTTCAACCTATAATTGCGTTCTCATAAATCCAGTGAAAGTGCAGTGGCAGGACTGAAAGTAAGTGTGTATTTATCAGGAGACTATTATGGTACCAGAGAGCACTTAGGTTTCACATACTTCCATAGAAAGGCACAGGCGTTTTCTTCAGAATATAAATCATATCCTTTTCTCTGCAAAATACTAACGAGGCCTGTTTGATGGGCTTTGTGCCATCAGCTGGTGATGACAGGAGCTGAATGGAGTATAAAGGCTGACCGTGAAACGCTGAGACGTCTCTGCTCGGATGCTGCTCCTCTCTCAGCAGCTCCTTTCATGGAAACATACAAACATTTTCACAATTATCCAATTTATTTTCTAAATTCTTCAAAGCCCCCCTCTGGTCTAAACCATTTGATTCGACCACGTGAACATATGCTAGAAGATATATCATGAGTGCAGTAAGCAGCCAGCACCATGGCCGAGGATCTCCATGTTCTATCAATGACAGAATCCAAAGTCTGGATTCAAACTTTCAGGGTATCAGGGAGGAGTATACGAGTAGTTATCACACCAGAGGTTTAGTCCAGTCACAGCATGAGGTGGTAGAACTGCTTCCTGCTGCCCAGGCAGCACTGGTCAGTGTGGAGCAGTGGTGGGTACCGTGGAGAGCCTGGCTACTGTCTGTCTGTGAGCTCTCAGTAAATAAAATGAACAACTTGTCTGTCAGACGGTTTTTATTTTATATCCGTAATGTTCTCAGACCTCTACTAGAACAAAACTCTTTGAGCACTCTAGAGCTGCATTCATGTCACTGACCTTGCCCTGACCTCTCTCTGCTGTTTCCAGGTCCATGGGGTCGGTGTATGGGAAGTGAGTGTGGCCCCGGAGGCAGCCAGAGCCGAGCGGTGTGGTGCGCCCACGCTGAAGGCTGGACCACGCTGCACACCAACTGCGACCAAGCAGAGCGACCAGATAACCAGCAGAGCTGCTTCAGAGTGTGCGACTGGCACAAAGATCTGTATGACTGGCAGCTGGGAGCCTGGAACCAATGCGTCCCGGTGTCGATGCGCAGCGCCGGGGTCCAGCGGCCCGCTGTGTGCACACGGGGGGAGGAGGGCATCCAGACCCGGGAGGTGGGCTGTGTTCAGAAGGCGGATGGCGTGCCCGCAGAAGATGCAATCTGTGAATACTTCGAGCCTAAACCCCGCCTGGAGCAGGCCTGTCTCATCCCATGTCCTCGGGACTGTGTGGTGTCCGAGTTCAGCCTGTGGACAGCCTGCTCTAAAACATGTGGGATGGGCCTACAGAACCGGATTCGCTTCATTTTGGCTCCACCGCTGTTTGGAGGGGCAGCCTGTCCAAACCTGACTGAGTTTCAGACGTGCCAGCCAGGTCCCTGTGCCGGAGAGGAGAGCCTTTATAGTCTCAGGGTCGGACCCTGGGGGCCCTGTTCTGTCCCACTGCCAAGGCAAGCCAGGCAGGCTGACGATCCGCCCAGAGAGGGCGACAAGCGATCCAAGGAGGGTGAGAGACCTCCAAGAGAGGGTAGCAAACAGTCCAGAGAGGGGGAAAAACCATCCAGACGAGGTGAAAAACAGGCCAAAGAAGGAGACAGATGGTCCAGAGAAGGTGAAAAACTGTCTGCAGGTGGTGACAAACCATCTACACCCAACAGAAAAGTGGGAAGGGCCAACCGGAAACCAGACAGGCCGTCCCGACAGGCAGACCGACCGAAACGGCAGAAAAAGGCCAAGAACAAGGAGAAGCGAGAGAAGATGAGAGAGAAAGTCAGAGAGCGGTTAAGAGAGAGAGGCAAGGCCAAGGATCCTGAGACCAGAGAGCTGATCAAGAAGAAAAGGAACAGAAACCGTCTGAATCGCCCAGGAGGAAAGTTCTGGGACATGCAGGTCGGGTACCAGACCAGAGAGGTGAGCTGCGTGCACAAGGCCGGCAACGCTGAAGCTCTCAGGTAAGAATGGCTCACAGTTCCTACCGTGTTCATGGTTTATTCATCCATCTGTCAGCTAAATCAGTTTGGGGATCACACAGGAACAACGAGGGGAAGGGAAATATTATGGTTTGTATTCACATCAGGTTAGGAGCTGGTTGTTGTCATGGCTACAGTGTACCTGGAAGGGAAGATCAAGTTCTTTGTCTTTTTTTAAAACCCTGTTGACATGTTCATGTGGTGTTTTCATCATGCTTCAACACATCATGAGTGGAATCATCAGTCGAGAGCAGGATGGAGCATTTTCCTCCTGACAGAGCGACTTCTGACTGTCTCAGAACCACACAGTCACACCTGCAGGGACCCATATGAGACCGGTTCTGTTCACTTACATCATCATTCGTCTTTGTTGTAGTTGTTTTGGTCGACAGTGTGTAACTGAATGGCTGCAGCCGTTGTGCAGTGCAGAGTAGTTTTAGGGTGTTTGGGCAGATGTGAGCTGGTGAGCTGGTGAGCCGGTGCTGCAGTGACCTGAATGGGCTGAGGGCTGAGCCGGGACTTCACAGACCTTCACCTTCTGGAGGAAGTGGTGGGATGTGGCATTATATTCAAGCCATTTTCAGGCAGGAATAGATTCTTCTCATGGAAGAACATCTAAATGTCAGAGATGAGGTGAAGCCATCAGCTGGATGGTGAGGCTCTTTAAGAGGGACGTTAATTTGAAGGTGATTGATTAGAAATAGAAATGAAGAGCAGTTTAGACACTCAATTTGCTCTAATGCTTTTAGTTGGACGCTGCTGTTTTATTGTCTTATTCATGTACACATGTGTTCATGGCATGTGGTTCATTACAAATGTTGGACAGAAGGTGGAGGACACTCAGAGTCCTACAGTGAACATCAAGTCCACTTTCCTTCATCATGAGGTCACTGAGATGGTTAGACGGCTGATCTCTTAGTCTCCATGATCTTTATTATTCTGTGATAGTAACATCTGTAAATAAACTATACGTTTAAGAAGCCACTTAGCTTGGTATGCCTCTGGTGCCACTTCTGTTAGAGGATCTCATGTTTCTCTGAGGAGTGGCAGAGAGACTCCAGAGCAAACCGCTCTGTCAACGCCATGAATGAAGGATTCAGTAACAGCTGATGGCAGAATGATCAGGACCTTAGATTCATAGTGATCACAATCAGCAGAACATCCATCAGTTCCTCTCAGTGCCATCGCTGTGCACCATGTGGTTGGGCTGGTGGGTGGACGAGTGGAGCTTCTCCAGACCCACTGTGCCTCCTGAGCTATCAGCTGGTTCAGATCAGCTGTGGCAGCGTTTTGTTGTTTTTGGATGAAACCCCCAAAAACCATGAATAATGAATGGACACAGTTCACTGACTGATGATGTCTGCAATGTGTTGTTCAGGATCATTGTACCCAGCTTCAGACATACATCATGTATGTTTACATGATGTGTCTACGGGCTGTTTGTTGACGTGTTCACAGGGATGCATGCTGGGATGTGCTGACTGTGCTGCATGCTCCAGCTCAGCTTCCTGTCTCTGGGACTCGGTGGCTTCAAGTCACCACCCATCAGTCATATCGCTGTAGTCTTCACTCCGTTTTCTCTCTTCACTCGAATATTTAGTCAAAATCCAACACAGAGTCTTGAGCTCAGTGAACCACGTCGATGATTATTTTCAATCACAACAATGAAGGCGAGATGCTCACATTCATAATAATCCATCTGGTCACAGTCAGTTCTTCAGTAATAAAGCAGAGACCGAGCAGGAAGGTCAGTTTGAAGGAGTCCTTCTCATCATGCAGCTGTACACGGCTTTTCACAGCTCAGTAAAACTAGACAAAGTCATCAGAGCTCCACTGGAAGAGCCGTCCATGTATGTCTCCACACTGGTTTCTCTCCAGTGAGGTCAACGTCCATGTGGTGTCTGAGAGCCGCTCGCTTTGTAGGAAGATGAATGGCCTCATTCTGTCTAGAGCTCGCTCGACTCTAAAGAGGCCACTGAGCACCGGCGATTACATCCTGAGAGCATCAAGGCTCTGGTTCTACGTTTTCTATTAATGCCTCCGAGCAGATCACAAATCAGAACCTTTAAACTCGTAGCAGCACAGCGTTCAGGCAGAACGTTACATGATACGCACTGGGATTAATGTCTAGTTACAGATACTCACTCAGAGACGACCATATTTGTGTAGTCATCCAGCCAGTCCCTGCCTGACAGATGGCTGAGAGCTTCAAAGAGGCTTAGCTGCCAGCGATGAGCGTATCGCTGCTGGAACACGTCCATGACCAAGTTTATTTACAGTTGGAGCCATCACTCTGGGATTTCTAATTTTATCTGATTTACTAAAGCTGCTAATTATCCTCCAATGTTCAGGCTTTTAAATTGTGATGAACTGCAAAGTCCAGTGGACTTCATCAGCTGTTTGAAGAGCACAGCACCTGATCGAGGTTCTACTGGCTGGTAAGGCCCTGACAGAGGTTCTATTGGCTGGTAAGGCCCTGACAGAGGTTCTGCCCCCTGGCAACGCCCTGACAGAGGTTCTACCGGCTGGTAATGCCCTTAGAGCTGCTTTCAGAGTTGAGAGTATTGATTTGGATGTGTTTGCAAATGTTTTGCTGCACAGCTTCACATCCATTGCTCCAGGCTGTCTTCAGAAATGTGCTGAGATGTGACCTGATGGTTCAGAGCCAGTAGAGCACTGGTGTGTTGTTCCTGTTGTCCAGAGTGGAAACACACAACATTATGAGAGGTTTATGATTCTGAAATTGACTTAACACAGAAAATACCCCAATTACATATTTAGTTGTGTGGTTGAGGCAGAAGTGTATTTTTATCTGCCAAACTTCTCCAGCTGCTTCTAGTTGGTCCAAACAGAGGTGGAGGTAACAGGTGCCCTCACACATGGAGCCACAGCGACCCCGTCATTGGCAAACAGGCTGAAATAGACTTGAGTTACGGGAAGGGTTGAGCAGCTTTCTTTGCACTTTGACTTGATGTTGTAGTAGTTGGGTGGATATGAGGACAGCATCAGCTGAGGTGAACAGTTGGAGGGACGAGCATCGTCTGACGCCTGAGCAGGAAGGTCTCAGAACAGACCTTGATCGTTGCAGGGAATCGTCAGTTCAAAACTACAAGAAGAAAAGAAAAACTAAAAGAGCTTCTTTCTTCACGGTTACAAAAACATCCAGAGGGTCAAAGGAGTCGAGGGAAACTGAACTGTTTTGACTAAAGTGGTGGAGAGAGAAGACGAGGAGGGCATCATTACCCTGAACGTCTCTACAACACAGAGGGAGAAACAGCGTAGTCCATCTAGAAACACATCTCTGGGTTTGTAATGAATGTTCATCACGTCGCTGTGAGCGACGTCACTTCATTTGGTCTTAATGATCCACTCTGTGGCTGTGGAGGCATCTACCGGCCATGCTCGGTCTCTGTTCCTGCACTGCTCCTGTCTGCAGCGCTTTGTGTGGACATTGTGGTACCACAGTAATGAGTGTGGGAGGTGAATTTCACGTTTTAATCATATACAGTACAAAGAAAGAGTGTCTTCTCAAATTCTTGTTTTTGTATATTTTTCCCACTTTAATGTTTAAGATCATCAAACAAATATCAGACAGAGATACCCCAAGTAAACACAAAATGCAGTTTTTAATGATGACTTTATTTATTAAGGAACACAAACTACTCAGAGCTACCTGCCCTGTGTGAAACAGTAACTGCCCCTGAACCTAATACCCGACCATTCGGTCCAACGGGGCAGGAGTGAGCGGGCGGTTCCACCATCAGCGGTCACAGTACTCAATCAAAATTGATATCCCGATTCCAGCACAGTGGATGAATAGTCGGCTGTCCGGCTGTCCGGCTGTTCGGCTGTTGGGGTCCAGCTCTAGTTAAATGTTAGTAAAAGTGAACGTTGTAATGGACTACAGTGACATGTCCTGCTGCAGACTGGACCTGTGATAACAACTGTGTGATCCTCGTGTCTTTATCCGTCTCTGCAGCCTGTGCTCTCAGGAGACGCTGCCGGTAACCTTCCAGGCCTGTGTGCTGCCCAAAGACTGCGACGCCACCGAGTGGTCTGAATGGTCACCTTGTTCCAAGGAGTGCTACGATCCCAACGGGCCCAAGGGGGAGCGCACCCGGGTCAGAAAAGTGAGCCAGTTCCCAGTCGGTGGAGGAGGAGACTGTCCAGAGCTGGAGGAGAAGGAGGCCTGCAGCCCCCAGGGAGAGGCGGTGCCGCCTTGCATCGTGTAAGTCCTGCACATGTTCAGACAGTACCGTAGCTCTGATGGAAGTTCTGGAAGCTGACTGGAGTTCTGCAGCCAAAGAAAATCAGGAAAAACATTTCTCCAAAATATCCATAGTTCATGACAAAACATAAACGGTTCCAGAACAAGTGTAACCTGATTTAATTTTGTTGGTTCTGGGTTTATTGTGACCTCAGCTGGAACCAGACGAGTCCGTCTTTGACAGTTTCATGTCCATATCAGCTCCACATGTCAGCACCCCTCCAGATTCTCTCGATGTGGAATGTTTATTTAAACTGCAGTCGCTTCCTGGATAATGTCACCATCACTCCTTCAATCCTTAATAATAATAATAATAATAATAATAATAGCCTCACAGCTAGAAGGTCGCCGGTTTGTCTTCAGTACCTGAGGTACTGTTGTCAGCGTTCATTTCATGTTTTACATGTATTCCGAAAAAAATAGAAATATCTGAATAATTTTAAGGTTATTAATTAAAAATCACAGATGCTTGAGGAGAAACGGTTCTGAAGACGTGATGTTTTAGGTTTCACGTGTTCAGCCCTGTGAGGAAACCTTCATGGCTGATATGCTGTAGATGAGATGTTTTCATGGATCTCATGAACCAGCTTTAGTGGGCCAGTCTGCTCACTAACCTGCGGTAGTCTTCTGGAATGTTCCATGAACATCATAAATAATTACCAATAATAAAGCAAACTACTGTCCTTTGCACTGTGTTGTGATGACCGTCTGTGTCCCGTCAGACAGGACCTCCTGCTGAGGGTTAGAAGATGTGATAACAGCTCCACTTTCATTTCATCTCTGTAGAAATTAATTTACTGTAGCCGTCTGTTTCCTGGTCGGAGCACAAACAGCCGTAATGTGAAGCAGTAAATCGATATCCGTCAGCAGCAGCTGTCCTCTGTCTGTCAGCGCCGGCCGCTGCTCAACCGCTCGGCTGGATTGTCCCCATCTGGACAATTTAAAGTCCCAGGATGCACTGCTGTCCCCGGGGCCTTGTTGTTCTGCAGCAGCCTGAGAAAGAGAGACACAGAAAGCTTGCTCATGAATATGGAGCCTTTCATGGCAACTCAAATGAATTCCATTCTGAGCAGAGATGCAGGCAGGGTTTACGTTTTCTGACCTCAGGGTGCAAACCACTATTCATTGTTGCTGAAGCCGCCTGCTGCCAATTCAATAACCAGACACAGCCCCGTATGAATAGGTGCTGCAATTAACAAACTCCTTTCAGCTTAAAAGATCGAGTCGAGGACAGCTCCCGGTGAATAGCAGCCCTGAGCGTATTGTACACAGAGATCCAGGGTTAAGAACGGTAAAGTTCTGGAGAGATGTTCATCCTGTAGCCCATGACACCGGTGCTGCTCAGCGGCTGGAAAAAGCCATCCACTCTGACAGAATAAGCATTTATGGAATGACCCGATGACGTTTTCACTGTATCTGGAGCAATACATGATGTGATGATAACAGTAAATAGGAGAAGCCTGATGACCTCTGGAGAGCAGGTCAAGCATCAGTAGTCTGGAAGAAAGTACTGATCAATACCGGTGACAAACGGATGTGTCCTGGATGTGGCATGAATTCATTCATTCATGTAAAATAGTCAAAGTAGTAAAACATATAATATATAAGTCCCATCATGGACATACATCATCTGTATCTGATACCATGCATCCAGAGAAAAGACAAAGGAGGAAACAAAACAATGGAGCGAATAGAGGAAAGAAATGAGCAAATAAGCAGAACAAAGAAATGGTTCTAATATAACAGGACGTCAGGCAGCAGGAAGCACTCAGCAGCTCTTTAAGGTAAGACTCAGGAACATGACGCTTCATGTGTGGGTTTAAAAAATGTTTAAATCACATTGGAAATACAATCAAACTTCACAAACAGTTGATTTTACGAGCAGACCCAGGAACACACAGCTCCTAGACACAGCACAGGTCTGAATCCTCCCGGTTCCACGCCGCAAAGAGACAGTTTTCTGACTATATGTTCATATCTGGGCTGCAGGCTGCTTGGTGGTTAGCACCGTGCCTCACAGCTAGAAGGTCGCCGGTCGGCGTCCCGGTGAGGACACCCGGGATCTTTCTGCGTGGAGTCTCCATGTTCTCCCCGTGCAGCGTGGGTTCTCTCCGGGTTCTCCAGCTTCCTCCCACAGTCCAGAAACATGCTGAGGTTAATTGGTGATTCTAAATTGTCCGTAGGTGTGAATGTGAGTGTGCTTGGTTGTCTGTCTCTAAGTGTAGCCCTGTGATAGACTGGTTATCTGTCCAGGTGAACCTGCCCTGCCCTGAGTCAGCTGGGATAGACTCTGCCCACCATGACCCTGGTGAGGACTAAGGTGTAGAGATGATGGATGGATGGAATCAGTGCTTTAGGTTTTGGGATACGTTCATGAGTGAGAACTTTATGAAAACATAAAAACAGAAAGTTCAGAAACTCGACAAACATGTTGGGTGGAAACCAACAGTTGGCAAAAAAGAGCCAGTGTTTAGGTTCTGATGTGTTGATCCTGACAGCAGCAGGACTCAGGCTTCAGTTTCTGGATCTGCACATCTTCCAGCTGTGTTGGTGAATGTGTCTGTCGTGTGTCTTTCTCCTCCAACATACGACCACATCCTATAAACTGTGCAGAAGGACGCCGTACCAGAGATGATCAGCAGGAGAAGTTGTAGGATTTGTCATTTTGCATGCAGTTCAGTGAAGGCTGTGATGTGCAGTAAGATGAAGAAATTATTGTTTAGTGGTGGTCAAGGCAAACACTGGTGATATTTCTGTGTGTCCATACGCTGCCCTCTGGTAAGAGTACCGATGGATTGGTTCAGCTAATCTATGCACGGCCTGTTGCAGAAAATGAATCTGATATCTGTGACCTTATTGAGAGACCAGTCGATAGAGTTCTGCTGTAAACCACTAACGAACGGTGATCTCCATTAACCTGATGATGGGACAGTTAGCTGCTACCATTTTAATCTATACGCCGATGTGTCTGTCCTCAGCTACAGCTGGAAGACCACCGAGTGGACCGAGTGCAGGGTGGACGTGCTGCTGAGCCAGCAGGACCGTCGGCGTGGGAACCAGACAGGCCTGTGTGGAGGCGGGACTCAGACACGGGAGGTCTACTGTGTGCAGTCTGCTGCTGACACGCCGCCCAACCTCAGCTCGCTCAGGAGCAGAGAAGGTAACTCTCCCACCGCTGACTGTACGTGACCTTCTGCAGCCGTCACAGCGTTCAGGTTTAGTTCATCACCACCGTTACACACACAGGAACACACCTGGGCAGGTGACCAAATCAAGAGCAACACCCACATCTAGCCTGTCAAATTCTGTCTGAATGACGGTCAGACGTGAAAACTCAGGAGTTAACTGAAAGCTTGACTCGTTGCTGAATCAGTTTGTGATTTTCTGGAAGCAGGGAGCAGACAGTCTGGGGGGAGACGACATCTGTGCTTCAGTGGTTTTCATGTTATTAAAGTTGTTAGGAACACATCCAACATTCAGCGTATCGAGGAGACCTCAGTAGATGTGGTCCTGTGGGACTGCTGCTCAGCCCTCTGTGCCAGAACAGAGTCCCACATGGAGGCTCTGGCTGTGGATCGGTACCATCTGGATGCGCTTCCACTGGTCACCAGGTTAATGTGTTTAACTGCCAGAGTTACTGAGTCTCTGCAGGAGCAGTGGGTATGCTGCTGGTCCTAACTGTTCACCACTCATCTGCTGCTGTTGGTCACCACGGAAACATCTGGTTCTGGATATTTGTGCTGCTGGTCCAGGTTACTGCACACTTTAATGAGCTGCTGATTTGACTGTCTGGGACGTCACAGGCCAACGCTCCACCTTGTCAGTACTTACCTGGGTTTGGTAGTTCTTATTAACACTTTAGGAAAAATAACCTTTAAATTCCCAGTTGAGTCAGTACCAGCTGAGTTTAGTCAGAATGAGCAGCGCTGACATCTGTGGACAGGAGAAGCCTCTTTCTGCAGTCACAGGACACGTTCCTACGTCCACTTAATCCACACTGGACCTTAAAGAGTACAACAAGACGTAGGTACGAGTCGCAGGCACACCTCTGCTCTCCTCCCATGAGTCCTGTAAACCCTGTGAAGTGTGATGTTAGTGAACAGAAGCAGAACAGAACCTCTGTCGTCCCTACACGGGCCTGTACAGCGTCGGCTGACACTAAACCTCCTCAGCTGGTCCAGTCCAGGATGCTGACTGGATCCTGCATTAATCTCTACTTTCATTCTTAATAATAAATCAGGTTTGGTTCATGTTTAATTTATTTAAAAGGTAAATAGCTTATTTTACATGAATGAAACTATTTCTTCTGTAAACCTTTAGATGTCTGCGGTTCATGCCGACGTCACATCAGAATGTAGATAAATGTGAGTTTATGGTTCTGATCCGTCAGCTCTATGCAGCTGATTTTTAAGATTAATGAATGAAAGCATGAGTTTAGTTAAGACAGAATATGATTACTGCGGTCTGGAATGTGTTCTACAATAAATACTGTTCATTTTGCGTTTTACTTTGAATTAACATCTCAGTGAAATGTATTTATTTCCTGAAACTAAAGCATCTGCACTGACTGAGAAGACAGACCAGGTCTGGTCTATCAGATGTTCTAGCTGTTCTGGTAACCGGACCGGATGCCAACGCGCTCCTCCTCCTCCTTCAGTCACTCTTCTATGAAGCTCCAGATTGTAAAGAAACAAACTGGAGCAGAAACGCTGAAACCATCTTTAGGGTGAACCAGTCTCTCACTAGATGGTGTCCTCATGTGCCAGGAGAACAGTTTGTAGTGTTTCCTGGAGAACATGGCACTTGTTGGAGTCTTACTCCAGTTCCTGTGTGTTCATATTGATCATGATTAGATATGATTGATGGTCGATCAGTGGCTGTTGTCAGTCTGAACAACAACAGCATGCTTCAGTCTGACCAGGTCCATTCACATCTACTACAGCCACACTGCTCCTGGCTCTGAAGTCCTTTGCTTGGGATTGCATTTCACACACCTATCCAGCCGTGTGAGCAGACAGGAGCATTAATGTGGCTTCCTCTCACATTAAATCTGGCCTGAGTTCTATGAATATGCTAATGTATGTATAAAAGCCACACAGAGAGGATGGAGATGGAATATGAGCTTTCACGTAAATGGGTGGCATTACTGAGCGCACAGCGCTGGAAGTGGCGCTAGCGTGCCCGTGGTTATCCAGCACTGACACAGTTAGGCTCGGTCCATCTGGCCGGCGAGGCTGAACTGGCGTCTGTTGCTAGAAAATATTCAGATCAGATGCTCATGAGCAGCCGCGTGCTATCATCTCTCAGTGTCACCGTTCCACGCTGCCAGGTCTGTTCACGGAGGTGCGGCTCACGCTCTAGGCTCTGTCTTACCTCCAGCCTCCATGGCTGCATGTTAGCATGAACGCTAGCATGGAGACACTACTGATGCTGCTACAGGTGAGATGTGATGTGGCTGTAGGGGATGAAGGAGAAAGTTAGGGGGACAGAAGACAGACCTAACCCTAACCCTAGCTGTGCCAGGCCGGCTGCTGAGCTCCATCCTCCTCCTGGATCATCTGATCTGCTCCGTACAGTCTTTACCCAGTTTTCATGCCATGTGCCATGTCTGTGTTTGTGTTTCACAGAGTTCATTCGGCTGTCACTGCACCAATGATGCCTCTGATTCGTTGAGTTTTTGCCGTCTGGTCAGACAGGCTGTAAACAACCTTTAAGGCTGGACGGTCAGGTATCAGCCCCACATTCATCCGCGACAGTCTACAGACGTAGGAATACTAATTACAGTTTGAAATTGACATAAATACTTCATATGAATCAGACGAGTCTGTGTGTGTGGATGCTGCTGCTAGTCTGTGTTCTGGACATCAGGACAGGGCAGTGAGAGCAGAGGACAGCCGCTGTCCTTACAGCGACTTTATCACTGAAGAGTCTGCAGGTAAAGGTGTCGTGAGTGATACTAGACTGGACGAACACAAACTCACTGTTGACTGAACCTGCCGGTGGGGAGAGCTGCAGTTCAGACACCTGTGGGTCGGGCCTTGTGCAGAGCGAAGGGATGCAGGAGATCAGCACCGTACTGGTCCGTCCTCAGACTCATTAAAGGATCTTTGTATTATAACCCAAACCAGGATACTTCAGCAGCAAGTGGAAAGCAAACGGACCAGTGAGAATGAAACTCATGAAGTTATAACGCCCGTGGACACAAACCCTAAAGCTCGTCTACCTGACTCATATATATACATATACATATACTGTATATACTGAGATTATAGCCAATGTAGGATTTTATTTCTTTTTTTATCATCAGACTGTCACCAAGTACCTTTTCCTTATTGAACTGTTTTCAGGTATAATCCTGTTGACATTGGCGTCGTCGGGTTATTAAACTGAATCACATGTTCAGGTGTGATGAGGTACGTGCTCTACACGGCAGCAGTGATGAACCGGAGCAGATTGCTTAGTATCCAGGATCCAGAATTAAACAGGTTCTTGTGATGAGGCTTCAGGTCAGCAGCCTTTAGAGCACACAGAAGCACGTTTCTGACATCCTGGTGAAGCCGCTGATCAGTGCTGCTCGTCTGGTCATTAGAAACTACTAAATGTGTCTCATTATTGGAGGTTTTGTACTTAATTAACTGCATTAATATCAAACAGCTATATTTGACTCACTAAGAAAAGTTTTTCAATTCAGATAAATCCTGGTTGTCGACTGAACTGATGAGTAGACGTATACGTGAACTCAGACAACAAACGTCTTTCATCTGTGCGCCACATTCACAGGTTGGTGCAGACTCAGAGCGATGACAACGATCATATTCACCGTGTGCGCACCTCATCATGCTACGGCATCCGTCAGTCTCTCGCTTCCCATTCGTTGTGCAGTGAGACGCTGTGTGCCGTGTTCTGCAGCGCCACGTGGCGTTTCCAGTGATGAGGCACAGCGCCGCCTGCCGCTCATTAGCATGAAGTCGACTTGGACGTGGACGCGCAGCATCAGGCCTGTGAATCGTCTCGTCTTCGTCACTGTTCACCAAACTGTGCTGTGCGCTGACGTCACTCAGTGCATCCTGAACATCTTCTTTGCGGCTGGCAAACGAGCTTTAGGTGCGTTAGCGCCACCTACTGGCTGGAGTGTGTGCATCAGTGTTAGCGGTGTGCCAGAAATTAGGGAACTGAAAAAAGTGCGATTAAATGCGCTAATTATTTTAACGCGATATTTTTTCTGAATAATTAATGGGAGTCCTGAACTAGTCCCAGCCCTCACACATTATTATTATTTGTATTTTTACCTCAGTGGCGCCCCCTTTCAACGAGAGCACATTTCACAGGGAGGAGCCGTCACTACACAGTGGATATGTATTCCCCCTCCTCACCCACGGTCATGAACTCCTGAAAGACAGAGATCACAACACAGGAGGAGCTTTGCATTTAGAAGAACCAGCTGAGATTATCTGGCCAGTTGAGCAGGATGCCACCTGGATGCCTCCCTGGAGAAGGTCCGGGTGCGTCCAGCCGGGAGGAGACCACAGGAGAGATTAAATCTAGCTCCTGGGAACATCCTTAGATGGATACCTGCATGACTGCATTCTGGATAAGCTCTGGTGGATAAGGAAGTGATTACATGACTTGCATTTGGATGATTGTACAAATCCAGACAGGATTACATCCAGTGACACAGACAACATACCAAAGTGTTTAAATCATGTTTTATTGCAGGAAGTAAACCAAAACGTTCAAAGAAAATGGAAAGAGCAACATGATGCAGTGGATGTAAGTAGATGAATGTTAGAGCATGAATACATGGAAACATCAGGAAACAGAGGCAGACATGAGCAGCCACAGCGAGGACAGCCGCGCTGGGACCGCTGAGCTGGGGCCGCTGAGCTGGGGCCGCTGAGCTGGGGCCGCTGAGCTTGGACTGCTGGGCTGGGACCGCTGGGCTGGGACCGCTGGGCTGGGACCGCTGAGCTTGGACCGCTGGGCTGGGACCGCTGGGCTGGGACCGCTGGGCTGGGACCGCTGAGCTTGGACCGCTGGGCTGGGACCGCCGGGCTTGGACTGCCGGGCTGGGACCGCCGAGCTCGGACCGCCGGGCTCGGACCGCTGGGCTCGGACATGCAGCAAGCAGCAGTCTTGAACTTTTTTTTAATCTCTAAGGAAGAAGCTTAATGAGGTCTAAAAAGGATCAATCTGGAAAACCAAACTAGTGGAAAACCCAGTGCCAGCAGAGTGAGGAAGGATGTTTCAGCGCCTTCAGCTTCTGATCCGAGCTGCTGTAGTCCTCGGGGTCCTTTATCAGGACCACGGTAACTATATCATTTCCACTCCTGCTGTCATTGGCTCATTCTATTGTGATGAGCCAATTGGCTGCTGATGGAATCCAATTAGTCTAATTAGGCTCATGTAATCTCACCATTTGCTCTGGAGGATGATCTGAATCCCAGAGAGACTAAGATTGTCTGTCAGTAATATCTCCACACACAACTCATTCCCAGTCCGATTACTGGGAGCGACTGTCCCATTTCCTTCCTGAGGTGGTTCAGTCCAAGTCTAAGCAACATATTTGCTCAACCTATTGAATAGATTACTGCTGGGTCACTGTTTACAGCCTACATTGTCAAATTGAAGTACCAATACTCTTCCTTGGAGCTTTTTTATTTTTAGTTTGTTTTGAAGACAACAGGAGCTAAGATGGTGTAAACCTGTGACCCTGAGTGGGAGTGAAGCTGCATCTCCGCCGTTCCTGTGCTGATTATGATCAATGCAGACTCTGCTGAGCACCACACTGTGACATGCTGTACAGCAGCTGTGGTGCCGTGAATCCTCAGCTGGAAGGAAACCCGGAGTCGGGTTATTGATGGCAGTTGGCGCGTGGCGGCGCAGGGCGGCAGCCTCTGAGGTTCCTAATTTGGTGGCTGGAAGCACAGCACAGGGAGAATAGACCATCTGGCGTGGCTACCTGAGCGAGGTGTGTGTGTGCTGAGGTTTCCATTAATCAGCCTTTGTTATGGTGGTGAAGTGCTGCTCAGACTTCACGAGGAGGAGGAGAAGAAGAAAGGTTGTGTAATGAAGCACAGAGATCTTTGTAGAAATAATTGGATGTTTGTCTGACAACACATGGGCATGTAGGAAATAAAGTTATCAATCATGTGGGTGCTTTAGTTCAACACATGACAGCAGCATCTGATCAGCTGACGAGTTAGGGTTAGGGTTTTAAAACCTCCCAGTGGTTACACCTGGTCAGAGGGATGTGGCCGTCTATAGACAATCCTGACACGTTGAGGTGAAGAGCTGACATGTTCTACCAGCCACGCATTCCCAGGCTGACTCTGAGTGGCTGTAGTGAAGGTAGTACCGGCTGACTTGTCCACCACCTTGGAACAGACTGAATATCTCAGCAGCTTTGGCATCATATGAAATGAAATGAAAAATACTTTATTTATCCCAGAAGGGAAATTCAATCTTGTAAAAGCTCACTTTTTTTTTTTTTTTTTTAAATCAATATAACATATATACAACAGTAATAATCATTCAGTCATATCTGAGTGGGCCTCGATGCTGGCCGCTTACACTTGGACAAAACAACAGTTCATGTTTCCTCTCAGCAGTCTCTGGCTCTCTGATGCCGTGTCAGCAGCATGCAGACCAACAGAACCACCTCGATGGTTGTGTTTCCTCCTGCTCACTGAGCTGCAGCTACAACCAGTAGCCACCACTCTGAGTTGACATCCTGGTCAGAGCTGTATGGTTCTCAGCACAGTGGGGACAGAGAGGCTGCAGGGGCCCTATCTGACCAACCCTAACCCCCAGGAGGGCGCTAACTGTGAACATCACCCTGTGCTTGGACCAAGTTCCTAAAGTGTCCGTTTCCAAGGACCCTCACCCTTTACAAGGACCCTAACCCTAACCCTTTACAAGGACCCTAACCCTGTCCAAGGACCCTAACCCTAACCCTTTGCAAGGACCCTAACCCTAACCTTTTCCAAGGACCCTCACCCTTTCCAAGGACCCTAACCCTTTCCAAGGACCAACCAGCCAACAGACCAACGCAGACACATCATCATCAGTTTGGAATTTGTGCCACTATGAATGTAAATGTGCTAAAGATAAAGATAAAAGATAAAGATAAACTTTATTGTCTGTCACAAGTGACAGAAATTTTTCTTTGACAGGCATAAAAACAAACACATTTAAAACAACATACAAGTACAGCCATAATTAAAAGGACGTTAGGGGCAGTTAAAAACAGCAAAGTGTTCGTTTCCGGCTATTAAGAGTGGTTACTGCAGTGGGAATGAATGATTTTTTATAGATGTTTTTCCGGGCCAGTGGAACCTTGTATCTTTTGCCTGATGGCAGCAGCTGGAAGCAGTGGTGGAGGGGGTGGGAAGGGTCTTCTGTGATCAGGGTGGCCTTCCTAATCACAGATCGGCTGTACAGTTCTGCCAGGGGGGGTTGTGGTGATCCAATGATTTTGCTGGCCTGGTTTAACTGCTATGTTGTGCAGAAGGCCAGACATATAGTTTTATATCCATTTTCTTCCTGTATTGTGTTCATATAGTGAACTTCCTGTTCCACTGAAGGCCTTTCTCGGTCAGAAAACAAGAAGCTAGGTGTTATGTCTACCTATGGTACCTGGACAGAACTCAAGTGGTGGAGGGGACGGAACCCAAGGACGTTTATTCCATCCTAATTATTCTACATTAATTGGGCAGAGAATCATAGTGATGTCGATTCAAAACCCAAACCAGAATGGAGAATGTGTTTATTAAAGTAGTCGTGTTTACACATGTGAAACAATCAGCTGGCTTCCTGCTGCATAAACACAAAGCTGCACAATTGCTGATTAAACCAGAAACTCGACTGTCTTCACTACAAGCCTCCTGCAAATGCCCTCTTTGATCAGCTGCAAGTTTATTCCTGAAGTCTTTGAATCTGAAACAGTTTATCATACAGACTAATTGATACCAAACATAATGTTCATACAAAAGCAGCACAGATGCAGTAAGCCGTGGTGTGTAGAGCGGTGATTAATCGTCTTCTCGTCACATTACGGCTCTCAAACCCTTCTCACAACCGTGCCAGTCACGGGCATGACAGGAATGATTCATGAGCCGGAGGCAGGCTGGGATACTCGAGTATGAGACGGTGTGACAGCACAGGTCTCCATGCAGAGCTGGAAGCAGTGATGTTAGCAGTCCTGTCCAACAGGAGCAGGATCGCACAGGTCCCCAGATCCTCGGTTAGATGGCCTGATCCAAAGGAAGGGGTCCCGTATAGCAGCCAGTTCAAGTTTTATTCTCCATATGAGTACACGAGTGCATGTGTTCAGCAACTACAAAGAGAATCAGACATCAGAGTATGTAGGAAGACATGATTTGTTTCAAATGTTAATAGCAGCTAATCGTGCCATTTGACACATCACCTGCTCCCGTGTTACACTCCAGGGCATGTGGCATGTCTGCACACTGAGCAGCACCGTTAGAGGCACGCCTTTGGCCAAGCGAAGGCAATTTGCATGTGAATGAGCCTGAGTGGCGTTGTGGCCCAGCCAGGATGATTCATCAGCCTGGTGCCCTTGCACAGAGTCACCTTCAGCTGTGTGGAGCTCAGGTCCACCAAGAACCAGGCAGAATGGAAAGCTGGCTGGGAAGGGAAGAAAAACAAGCTTTGTTGTTCCACAGTTGTCTGGTTTTGGAAGAGCTGGCCAGTTGAGGATGATGTAAAGGAGTTCCCTTTACAGAGAGTCTGCAGGTTCTTTCTTTCTGGTTTTAACTCTGTGGATGTGAGGTTCTGAAGACAGTGGTTGTGGCGATCTAAGACCTAGCTGTGTGTGGTTTTCTCCTCTTTGTGGTATAACTACATGTTATAGATCTCACACAGCTTTGAGGAGCTCTTTGTTCTGTTTTATATCATCTCATGTGCAGCTTTGTAAATCCTGATGTATTAGTTAGAAGTTGATATTTTAACAGGAAACCTCCTTGTTGGATGTAATGTGTGACTGCCTCCAGGTTTTCTGTCCTGTCTGTTCCTACACCGTCCTGGTGACCCTGCCTGTGTCTCCACAGCGCTGCGACCCGTGGACAGCGACCTGTGTCTGGGCGTTCCTCCAGACACCACCCAGCTCTGCCACATCAGCTGCCCTGTGGAGTGTGAGGTTTCCTCGTGGAGCGCTTGGGGACCCTGCACCTATGAAAACTGCCAGGACCAGGCAGCCAAGAAAGGTAGGAGGTCACAGTGAGAGCTGCAGCGCCGATGAGTCTATTTAGCAGAATAATGCAGTTCTGTAGGTATCTCAGAATGAGGGCGTCTTCTCTTGAAAATAGCCAGAAATACGAAGCCCAAGCTGAGAACCAGAACCGTTCTATTGTTCTTGTGGGCAGTGACTCTTGGATCTGTGAACATACCTCATACACAGCAATAAAAACTCACCATCCTACTGCATTTGTACCAGCACTGGCTTTTGTTATATCTGTCTACGCTGGATAAAATTAATCAGCACAATGATTAACCTGGTAACTGGTTGACAAGCTCATTACATGAGGAAACTAAACCAAAGGCAATGACATTCACCAGTATACAGCCATGACTGTAGCTGTGTCTGGTGCTGGCACTGTGATGGCTGAGAGTCCTGCCAGTTATGTGGTGTGTAGTGTTTCCTGTTGTGTTCTGTATCACCAGTGTGTGACCCTAGTAGACATGATTTAACCCTAAAAACTCATGCTCTGCTTTAGGTTAAAGATGCTCCATCCTTTGCCGTGAATCTAAGCCCTCATGATGTAACTCTACGCCAGTGCAGATCTGTGAACGCCACTACATCTAATAATAGATCGCGTCATATTTCAGGAGCTGATTTTGCACTAAAACCATTAAAGGAAGGCACAAGGATGGTCAGAGTGTTGTCCTGTCCTCTGGCTGTGGAGGCAGGTTGTGCTAGTCCATCAGTGGAGCTGACTCCTTCAGCTCTCATTAACCCTGAACCGTGGCGTCCGCCATGACTAATGCATGTTGACTCTGCCCTAATGAAGCTCCGCAAATGAAGGGGATGGCTGTAAATTCTTCTGCATGCATCTTTATGATTGATTCACTCCTACTTGCTCATTTGCTCGCTGCATCACTGATGCTCTGCTTTGTGTTCATGCTGTACAGCAACACACACTCACTTCCTGTGTGCACCTCGGCGCTCATTATCCGTGACATGGGGTCCAGTGGGCCGGCCTGGATTTATGTGGTTTTATCCTTGTCCAGCTGAACATGACAGAAACACTTTACCCAGAGAAATCTGTGTTCAGTGGAACTCACTCCTTTCCCGTTTACATCATGTTGATGCTACATGACAACATAAACACCCGATGACAGAGTTTGGACTCTCCACAGGCGTCCACTTACGGTCAGTCTGACAGTACACAGCTGGTCCTGGCTGGTGACCCCACTGACACTGTTGGCAGCTGATGAAGGTAGCATTACTGCAGACGGACATGCCGAGCGGCTTCAAATCCTCGAGGGTCCTCGTGTTGTACAGCGCTGTAAGCCAAGCTGCCATCCTGGTGGTGTGAACTGGGCCAGTTGAGGAGACGGGCCCGGTACGCAGGGTGCAGGGCACTGCCGTGTTTTATGCACACTGCAGTTCCTGCATATTTTAAGTCAGCTCAAACAATATTCTTAATAAAAGATTTTGCACTTTGACCATGTGTAGTATGATGTGGACTTCATGTTCAACATTTCATACACTGACACCAGCATTTTAAAGAATCAGCAGCCTGGAGTTCAGGTCTGGTTCGGCTACATTATGACGTGAATGGAAAAGCTGCAGCTGACTGGATTTAGGAGTTTAAAATTCTTTTCATTCTTGTTCTGTAACTTTGAATAAGAAAATGATTAATCATTGCATCAAACAGTTCTTGTGGTTTAGCAGGAGATTAGTTTATTTATTGACCTTCATTGTCACCAGTGCTGAGGCTGGTACAACTCATCCTGAGCCGTCGTCTCAGAGGCAGATCCTTACATGCGATTGTTTCTTCAAAGTGAAGCCTCCAGCTCTGACAGCAGCCTGTGCTGCGCTGCTGTCTTCCAGCCATGCCATTCATAACACACACTGCAGATAGAAGTGAGTGATGCCTGCACCCCGAGCCTCATCTTCCTCCATACAGCCCCCCGGCCTGACAGATAAACCCCTTCACTGGGCCTAGACACACGGCGGCACATGTCCAGCTGTCCTGCCTGATTAAAGAAACGTTTCTGAGAGACAAAAATGAAGTGGAAAGGGCAGATTCTGCTGCCTCTACCTGACTGCTGCAGGCACTCCGGGGCTCTGCTGCCTTATCGGGCTGCAGCAGAAGTGTGGATTAGGGGGTGGGTGACCTTGGCGGGCTGAACTTAGCATCCCACTTGGTCATGGAGTCTCCTGCCCTTGAGCAGAGAAAATGACACACATGTGAGAGCATCCTGCTGGATTAATGGATTCCTGCAGTCACTGTGTCTAAAATCTAATTTAATGAGAGGAGAATCACAGCCGTCATTATGTGAAGTTCTTCTTGAACCTCCGTCAGCGTCAGGCTTAATGGACTGTCACAATAAACGCCATATTATGGTATCATCAGGAACACACCATGACCACACAGTGAAGTTAATGTTCTTGCAGATGCACATAATGTGTTTTTGGTAATTGCAGCGAGTGTTTGCTCAACAGATAACAGAGAGGCTGTTGTGTGTTGGACTGGTTCGCCTTCATTTCCTTCATTAGGCTCCTGTTGTTCCCCGACAGGCTTCAAACTGAGGAAGAGGAGGATCGTCAATGAGCCGACGGGTGGGACGGGGAACTGCCCCCACCTGGTGGAGGCAATACCGTGTGAAGAGCCCAGCTGCTTTGACTGGCTGGTGGTGAAACTGGAGGAGTGTGTTCCTGACAATGAGAAGGAATGTGGACCAGGAACCCAGATCCCTCAAGTCCAATGTGTCAACAGCGATGGTGAGTAGACGTACGATACGAGCTAGCTTAAAGCTGCTCTTATTAACGTGATGTTAGCTGAGGTAACCACCCATACAGCTAGCTGAAGTAACTGTGATCTGTCATAAGGGATCGATATAATCAACAGGAACCAAACAACAGCGTGACGAGCTGACTTCTTCTGCCTTCATTCTGTGTTTACCAGCGTTTCCTCAGCTATACGGTTCCATGGACCAACAAGCGTCAGGGTTTAGCTCACCCTCAGCTGGTGAGCTGTAGGGGGCGCCCTGTGTGAACATTGTTATAATCTTTTTGGATCATGTAAGAAGGGAACAAATATGCAGTAGCTCACTGGGGTGGTTGTTTTTAGATTCTTGAATGCAGACATAGTACACGGTCAATAAACAGATAATTAACTCGTACCGTCTGGCATCATTTCCACATAGGTCAGTGCGCAGTTATTCACAGTAGACATCTAAGACAACGATGTGCTCAGCGAGTGTCAGTGATAATGTGTTGGTGTGTTCAGACTGGACCGAGAGACATGATGCTGATGTGTGTTCAGTCTGGTGCTGAGGGTTTTAAAGTACGTCAACACAACACTGGCATGTATCTGGCCTTTAGTCTCAGTGACTGGACCAGTGTCTGTAAGCTTTCCTGCACCCTTCCAGCCAAACATATACTGTAATTAAAACCTCAGGGCGGCTGCACCTTCCTGATCCCACTGTTGCATCATTACGTCAGCTGACGTCAGTAGCTGTCACCAGGCGTGTCCCTCAGATGGAAGCAGAATAACAGAGAAATGTGATAAAACTGCTGCTCTGAAGCTGTGTTTATCTTGAAGCTGTAAAATGAACCATGGCATCAACGTGTGCAGATGGATATGTAGTCAGTGCTGGGATCGGGTTCCCATAGAGACCAGAGCAAGTATCACGCACCAGAAGCATGTGTTGACCCCAGCAGTGAGGGCTGCACTGCAACTACAGAGCTGTTCATGTGGTCATTAGCAGCACTTATCAGAGGTTCTGCTCTACTGTTTGTACTGTTTGACATCGTTGGCATCTCCGGCTGTATCAGATATGAAGACCAGGTTCCAGATGAAGGCTTCCTGGGATTTTCAGATGACTTCTACATGAACAGCAACAAGCAGTTTGATAATAGCTGACAGTATGAGTTAAAGTGACACTGGGCTCCTCTGTCCTGCAGGCTGCTGGTATCTGTGGCTGAGTGACAAGTCCTAAGTATAAGACTTGCTGGTAATGAGCTAGTACATGTACCAGCCCTGGTGGTTGGTGGTGTTCAATCCATGAGCTGATTAGCAGATAGCTGGAGATGCTGGTGCTGTGTGCGGAGGCCGTGTTCATGTGATGTGGGTCCGTTTATTCATCTCTGATTGCTGCACACAGACTTGGCTCCTGTGACCTGCTGCTCTGTGGCCCAGCAGCCTTGCAGCTGCTGTATTTGCTGCAGAGAGAGATCCTCCATTGTTGTGCTATTCTCAGCAATGTCATTGTGTTCTGGTACACGTGTAGCTGCTTCCCTGGTTCCACCGCAGGCAACGGGCCAGAACCGGGCTGGACCAGAATGTGAGGCAATACCTACACACACCTACACACATTGAACTGGACTGAACTCCTGCTGTCCTGGTCGTTCCTCTCTAACCCAGTGAGGAGCAGGCTGATCAGCTCGCTGTTCGGTTCTGATGAGTGATGCTGTTCAGAGTCTCGGTGGCACCACAGATTCCTTCATTCATCTTCACAGAAGCTGCTCACAGCGCTGCTGCTGCTGCTGCTTGGACAGTGTCTTCATGTGAAGGTGTAGCTCAGCACAGATCCAGAGTGTGTTTCAGCTGAAGGTGCTGAGTAGAAGTACACAGCTCAGGATAAATGATAGATGTGACTTCAGACATTTCAGCAACAGATCACAGAAACATCTGGCATTAGATATAAAGTCCAAGGACTACTGCGTGTCCAGAAACCTGCTGCTGCAGCAGCATTTTTATTCATAGCTCATGGTGGGCCGTGGTGGTGCCAGGTTGCTGCTGTTGAGCCATGGAGCAAGTTCATGGGACTGTAAAGTATTTGCGACAACCAAAGTGTTCTTCTAAAGTTTCTGTTGGTTGTCACAGCCCTGACTTCCTATAAACTGTACAGATATATGGAAGGTATTGTTTCATGACCAGAAGATGACATCATGTAGCACAGAGGCTAACCATCCGCCCACGGACAGTTATTTCTGGATCCGTTCTGCCTCCAGGTAGAAACTCAGGACCTTCAACTCAAAGTCATAAATGGCAAGAAAATAAACAAAATCCAACAAAACTATGAAATATGAAACAGTGAGACAGAGGAATTCAGTTAGGGCTGAAGATGTCAGCATCATTAAAAGACTGCAGCAACAGTCAGACGTCTACAGCAGTTTGTATTTCATGTGCTTCTCACCAGACCTCTGGAAACACAACATGTCCTGCAGGATGTAACGCTAAAAATGGTTGTGCTGAAATCCAACAAATCCAGAGTTTTCTTTAGATTTGAGCAAATAGATAGCGACGGTTGTAAGGAAGGAAAAAACCCTGTTCACTGGGAGGGACCACAGAAACCTCCAACAGAGCCAGGCTCAGGGAGGAAGGCCATCTGCCTCCACTGTCTGGGGCAGAGCAGGGCAGATGGAGAGCTGACAAACTATATATAAAAGAACAGTAAACACTTTGGAGATCAGTAAAGCCTGACTGCAGATCCGAGATGTGTAGTTATCACAGAGGAACGTTTTCATCCTGACCTTAAAGCAGAGAAGGTGTCTGCCTCCAGAACCCAGACTGGGAGCTAGTTCCACAACAGAGGAGCTGATAACTGAAGGCTCTGCCTCCCATTCTGGTTCTGGAGACTCTGGACCCACCAGTAGACCTGCAGTCTGAGAGCGAAGGGTTCTGTTAGGTTTATATGTTAGAAGCAGGATTTAGATTCTATCCTGGATTTACAGGGAGCCACTGAAGAGAAGCTGATACAGGAGAAATATGATCTGGTACTGGTTCTGTCAGAGCCCTGCTGCAGCATGTTGGATCAGCTGGAGGGTTCTGAGAGAGTTACTGGGACAACCTGATATAAGGACCTACAATAGTCCAGTGTAGAAGTTCTAAATGATGGACTAGTTTCTCAGCATCACTCTGAGACAGGATGGTCCTGATGTTTACAGTATTACGTAGATGACAGACAGCCGTCCTACAGACTGGTTCTATATGGCTGTTGAAGGACATGTCCTGGTCAGGAACACCTCCAAGGTTCTGTACAGTAGAACTGGAGGCCAAGGCGATGCCATCCAGAGCAGCTATCTGGTTCCAGAGTATGTTTCTGAGGTGTTTAGAGCCAAATAAAAGAACCTCAGTTTGTTTGGATTTAAATGAAGGAGATTCCAGGTCACCCAGGTCTTTATGTCCTTCCGACATGTTGGAGTCAGTCCAGCTGATTGGTTTCATTTGGCTTCATAGATAAATATAACTGGGTGTCGTCTGCATAACAGTGGAAATATGTGCAGTGCTTCCTGATAATACTGCCTAAAGGGAGCATGTACAAGGTAAATGATATAGGTCCTGACACAGAGCCCTGTAGAACTCCACAACTAACTCTGAAAGAATTATCATTAACATGAACAAACTGGAATCTGTCTGATAAATATGATTTAAACCAATTCAGTGCAGTTCCTTTAAGCCCAATAAACATTCCAGTCTCTGTAATCAGATGCTGTGATCCACTGGATCAGATGCAGCACTGAGATCCAGCAGAACCAGTACAGAAACTAGTCCACTGTCTGAAGCTATAAGAAGATCATTAGTAACCTTCACCAGTGCTGTCTCTGGACTATGATGCTTCTAAAACCTGACTGACTGTATTTCCCTGCAGATAATTTGCGTACAACAGCTTTGACAAGAATTTCAGAAACAAAGGGAGGTTGGAAATGGGCCTATAATGAGCTGAAACACCTATTTAAGAGTACTACAGCAACCTTAAAAGCCTGTGCTACGTAGCCTGGGGTAATAAAGAGGCTGATCATGTCTCATAATAAAGTGCATTTTAAGGAAACATTTCCCTGAACTGTCTAGTGGGGATGGGGTCTGACAGACCCGCTGCTAGAATGTCCCATCGATGTGAGCTCTTAGAGATGTACAGCACAGAAGAAGTCCAGACATCATGTTTATATGTCAGTACCCTGTCTGTCAGGCTCGCTGACTTTAAGTGACCTGCAGGATGTCTGAATGATTAAATGGTACGTATCCCATGTCTAAGGGCTGTGACTGAGTTTCAGAACACTGACCATGAGCCGAGTCGCTCTGGAGATTCAACACTAGTGTGTGACAAGGACATCAAGCAGTGTGTGCGTCTGTCACACTCAGCTTGATATCTCATATATCTCATATATATCATAGCGAACACGGGTGGAATGGAGATGAGGTTAATCCAGGTTCTGGTAGGTGTGGAGCGGACATTTAAGTTTGTAAGGGCCACAGTGCCAGCTGGTTGTTCTGTTAGAGATGGTGGATATTTCAGCACTGTTGTGTAATATTGGAAACATCAGATGTCAGAGAAGTGACAATACTTTATAGAATATGCCAGTTTAAGATAACAGCTGTACCCCTGGCAACGACCGGGATCTGCCCGTCTTTATTCTGCCTCATGTTCCACAGGGTCCAATTAAAAGTTAAACCGCTGGACTTGTGTACTTGCAGCATGAACGGGGCTCCAACTTTCAGAGCCTCAGCTGAAGGACTGAGGGATAATGTGTTATTGAAAACCACCTGACATGCTTCTGGTCTTCAGGGGAAGGTGCAGGCAGAAGGCTGCTGGGATTGGAGGAAATATTTCTGCTTTATTTTTGTTCATCTGAACCCGTTTCCTTTAATCAGAGACTTCCACCATGTGTTCTCTGATGCAGCCTGTGGATGAGGAAACATCTGGTAATATGAAACAGAACAGTCTGACAGAAATGTTTTATTTAGGTTTTTGGGGATCTTATGGAAGAGTTCAGTGATGTGGCCCCCAGTGTAGTGGCAGGGGAAGAAGGCAGGGGAAGCTGAGTGATTTGTAACGACAACGTGGAAAACAAATGGAAAAATAGGAACGAATGTTCTGAACACTCAGTGGTACCATCACAGCAATAGCAGCAGCTTTGTTTCTTCATCATTCCTCATGTTGGGGAGCTGATATGTGTAAGACCTGACTTTGAATGAATGAATCAATCATGACCCGTATCTGGTAGTCTTATCCCATCCTTTCTGTGAGTCTGGTGTGTTTGTGTGCTGGCTAAATGTGTGGAGGCAATTATGGGTGGGTTCCTGAGCCATCATACAGTAGCTGCTAATGAGGGCTCTGGGGAGAACATAGAGGAGGGGAGGGAGGCGTGAGGCTTGTTCTTCACCTTCCATATGATAATCAGGGTCCCATTCACAGGCTTCAGCGCTCCGTGTTGCTGCGTGCCGCTGAGTCCCATCATGCCTTCTCCATCCCAGACTGACTGCTGCAGCTACAGCTAATTACCTTCATCTTGTTCTGCTGAAAAATTAAAAGACAACTGCCCCTGAAAGACAATTTAGGACACCGAAGGCTGTCAACTTCTGTTTTGTTAATTAATTTTTTTAAACTTCCTATAGTTCAGATCTGAGGACGTCTATATCCAGGAATGCACAGATGTTGACTGTAGCCTCTAATGTTCATATAATTAGAGAATAACTGAAGAAACTGCTAAATATTATACGTGCAGGCAGTAATGCTGCACCAGGGCTCCATTTTCTTTCTTTTTTAAAATAAATTAACTAAACACAGAAGTAGAAGCTGGGGGTTCTTTACATGGACAGATGTGCTCAGCATAACTGGGGCTGGTCAGGGTCAGGGTCAGGGTCAGGGTTTAGGGTTTAGGGTTTAGGGTTTAGGGTCAGGGTCAGGGTCAGGGTCAGGGTTAGGGTCAGGGTCAGGGTTTAGGGTTTAGGGTTAGGGTCAGGGTCAGGGTCAGGGTTAGGGTTGGGTTAGGGTTGGGGTTCTGGGTTAGGGTTAGGGTCAGGATTTAGTGTCATGGTCAGGGTCAGGGTTTAGGGTTTAGGGTTGTGGTTAGGGTCAGGGTCAGGGTCAGGGTCAGCTTTCTGTTTTACAGCCTGAGCTGGAAGGTGTCAGATGATAGAGGACGACATACCTTCAAGTCTCCAATACGTTGATGAGACAAGTGTCTTGAAACAACACATCCAACACTGGTTTCCACAAGAGAGTCCATCTGAATCTTTGACAGCATGTTTGTCTGTGGCTGTGCCTCGTCACACATTGTAGTAAATACAGCCGGCGGTGGGACGGAGGGGAAGCAGCCCAGACCAGGGCAGCTGTTCTGTTCCTGGGTTCTGTACCAGACTCTGGTGTCGGCAGCGAGGCACTAGACAGAAGATGAAGAGAGACCAGTTAGAGCTGAAGACCTGTGGGGTGGTGTACAGGTCGGTGTGGGGCGGTGCTCTGTAGCTGGGCTCACCTTCCTCACAAGGTGGAAGAAGGTGATTGGGCCACAACACTGGTGGCAGCAGGACTGGTTTTACATCTGAAGCTCTGTGGAGCAGCTGATGTAAAATGACCCAGAAATCCAGTTCCTATTCGCTTCGTGTCACTGAGACATCTGAGATACAGTTCTAAGCACTGAATAAGAGATGTATTTATTTATATATATATGGAGTTTTGGGGGAATGTAAGGTAAAATGTTATCAGATCTATAAAGCCATTTGCCCTTTGAACAAGCCTCATAGACTTATTACACCAAGCTTTAACCTCTCCTTCTGTCCCTGTGGTCCTTGGAGCCCTCCTTCCTACCTGGAGCCATTTAGTGGCTCATGAATACATCAGGAAGTCATTTCAGTCTGAAGGATGAAAGAGAACCTGCTCAAGGTGACCCCACCTTCATCTTTCGTCTGTGTTTCTTGCTCCCATCTTGCGAGGGGCTATCTGTTAGAGAGGTGTGGCTTCCTGTCATGGCGCCCTGTTGAATCAGACTTATTGGTAAATTAGATTAGCGCAGCCTACTCCACACGGTCGGCTTGGATTTGCTCTGCCTTTCTTCCCCATTACCTCTGACTGCCTGAGAGCCCATCTCCCTGGATGTGGCAGAAACGAATCGGGGAGATGTCAGCCGACGTCTGCTACGTTTCCATCAGCAGAGGTTCAGACAGAGGTTTGACTCGTCTGATGTGTGCAATGTTAAAAAGAAAATTGTCCCTTTGATCGCTTGGATTGCTTGCTGAGCTCAGGGCGAGCTGATATCACTACAGCTCCTCAGATCTGTGAGCTGTGCAGGATGATGTGAACACATGTGGAGCAGCAGAGGAGGAGGTGGAGGAGCTTCCTCTGAACTCTTCCTACCAGTCAGGTCTCATTCACGCTGTAATCACTTACCTCTCAACAGAGGCTTTATTGTCATTATTCTTTGAAGGTGTTTGTCATTCAGCTTGTTCCCAGAATAGGGTTAGGATTGGCATCTTGTCTTCATCCACACTGAGATGGAATATCTTCTCCAGAACAGTCCATGTGACCTACAGATGGTACCTGAGCTTCCTTCAGTATGTGATTCTCATGTGCCTGCCTTTTTTGGGTTATTTTACATTTCAGTTTGTTTTCTGGTCAGAAATCACCCACAACAACCGTATGTGTGCTGCTGTTGTTTAGAAGAGTCAGAAGCTTTGCTGAACCAGCGCTCTGGTCAGACCCAACCATCTGCCCAGAGCTCGGTCGGAGCTGTAACACCGTCACGCTACCTGTGCACACATGTCCATAGAGACCAGTTTGTATGACCACAGGAGCTCATTAGTCAGCTGAAGCCTAGTTTTAATCCACAGGTCGCTTTACTGATCCACAAGTTCATCGATAGTTCTATGATGATCCAGATAACAGCAGCGCTCCTGAACAGCTGTGAAAGTGTTTGTCATCAGCGGCTGGTTCCATCCTTTGAGAAGCAGGAACGTGGCCGCTCTTTGTTCTGTACAGCTGGAGCACTTTGCCCAGTGGAGGTGCTGAAGGACCAGTCAGGGTCACTGGTGAGGCTCTGAGACTGTGCAGGAGGGCATGTGGGTCCACTGACCACGAACCAGCTGTACAAACTGAGGACCAAACAGCTACATGAACTCTGACATGGTGTGCAGACGGATGTGTGGTCTGTGCTGTTCGTCCTGTCTCACTGTGTCTGACTGTCCTGATGGTCGTTATGGCTTTGTGCTGAGCGGTTATGGCTCTGTGCTGACCGGTTATGGCTTTGTAGTGACCGGTTATGGCTTTGTAGTGACTGGTTATGGCTTTGTGCTGACTGGTTATGGCTTTGTGCTGACCGGTTATGGCTTTGTGCTGACCGGTTATGGCTTTGTGCTGACCGGTTATGGCTGTGTGCTGACCGGTGGAAACCATCATGTTTGTTTAATTATCAAGAGGAAGTGGCAGCTCATGCAGGGCACCACCAACAGAAGACATCAGGAAAGCCATCAGTGTCAGACAGACCCTTTAAGGATTTCCTCCAGCATCTATTACGTGGAGATCTTTTATTGGCCCTGTCAGGGTTCTGCACGTCTTTTCCTGCCAACACTGCTCCACCCCCATGGCTCTGGTGTTTTCCCCAGAGATGCTCTTGACTGGCCTCTTATTGATCTCTTGTTGTCTCCTTCTGATGAGAATGGATCTGTTTTTTCCCCGGGGTCCCAGACGTGTCATTGGACCCGCTGGCTGCCATTCTTTCAGCCCTTCACAATGAGATTTTCGCAGATATAGTGCTGGATGGTGCCTGGTTTGGGATGAAATGGGATGAAGGCAGTGAGGAGAGTCAGGACAGCCTGAAGATCTAAATCAATACAGAACAAATCAGCAACTCAGCAGTCCTACCTCTCAGCAACAAATCCTTGAGAAGACCTCTAATGGAGTATAAAGCAGCAGGCGTTTCCTTTCAGCCATTTACAGCAGTCTTTATTGCATGATGAAATAATTCAGTAACTCAGGCCTCGTGTCCTGGACCTCAGGAACACATCAGACTGTGAGCAGGTGACAGCCTCGTTCCAACATAGTAAAACGTTCTTTAGACGTAGCTGTAGGGATCATTTAAACGTTATCATTGGCTCTAGGAAAATTTGATGCTTCTCAGTTAGACTTGTATTTACATCTTCAACATCCTTTAACTTTAATTACAACCTGCTTTTGTTCTGTGGTATGTCAGAGTGGGTATGATGCCAAGTTAAATGTGATATACATTCATCATGTGAGACATCCTCACATAGGTCTGAACTGTATGATCTGTATGTTGAAGTGATTAAAATGAGACACAAACACAGGGTGGCCCAGACTGAAGCCTTATGGTGGCAGGTTGACTTTCTTGACCCTTTAAAGATGCTTTGCTCTCTCTGACTGTTCCACTGCCGGCGTCTGTTCAGACACGCTGAGTGTGAAGTGAGCATGTTCTTGTCCAGTGCAGCGGTCATTCAGCTAAAGTCACCCCCACCGGGCCGGTTGGTCATCATGGTTCAGAATGTCTGACATGTGGACTGTCCTCCTGACAGCATTACCTCCGTGTGAAACAAACGGTGTTCCACAAACACGCCTGTTATAAAGATAAACCCGTCTACAGTCTGTATCTACAGTCAATCTGTACATGCATCCCTAAACCCAGCTGGAGGTTCTAGACTGTCCAGGGATTGGTGCTGTGTCCACCACGGTGCTCGGCACACCTCAGGAATAACCCCTGATGCAGGCCCACAGCCAGTCTGCAGGTAGCTGCTGTATCCTGGAAACAGGGAGAAGCAGGCATTCAGGAACATCCACAGGAGCCATGATGGTGGTTTTATGTGTTCAGTACGACAGAGGATGCTCGTCTCTGCATAACAGCTGACCTGTTGTGGTACGAGTAGAGCTACACTCAGAGCATCACAGTGTACAGATTAATGTCAGTATCCTTTTGAAGATGATGCTAATGCCCTGTGGCTGTGCCCCTCCAGGTGAACATGTGGAGAGGCAGCTCTGCCGGGATGCCATCCTGCCCATGCCTGCCATCTGCGAGGTGCCTTGTTCCAAGGACTGTGCCCTGAGCCCCTGGACCTCCTGGTCGCTGTGCTCCCACACCTGTTCTGGAAAAAACACCGAGGGAAAGCAGACCAGAGCGCGCTCCATCCTGGCCTACAACGCAGGAGAAGGTAAGGAGTCCAGTGTCCAGCACCAGGAGAACAGAGCAGCATCAGACAGCTTGGTGAGGTCACAGGTACTGAGACAGACAGAGCTATAAAAAAACTGAAACAGGAACAGTTTAGTCTGATTTAGTGTCAGATGGTGGGAAAATAAAGCTTGTGTGCGTTTTTCTACAGTGGACGTAGACTTGTGGTTATATGGACTAAGAATTAGTCAGGAATTAGCAGATTGAAGAGCTGAACCCTGAAGCTGGACTCACACTACAGGATTGTTGGAAACCTAACAGTTAATTAAATTGGGTTGCATCACACAAATAAGGAGAAACTTTCCTGATGTTCTTCTGTCTAATCCCAGAAACGAGACGTGCAGGTTGTGGCTCATCTCTCAGTAAAGAGTAGTAGTGAAGCAATGGTGCCAGAGGCAGCAGTCAGGGAGCAGCAGAGGAACCAGAGTGGAGACTGTGGTGCACAAGCGTGCTGTAACATCACCATGGTGTGCTTGTTCTTCAGTGAGGTTCTGACTGTTAGGGCCCAGCATCAGTCCAGTGAGCTGGACCCTGTAGTGTGATCCTGGCTGAACCGTCCATACAGTGTAATCGTTCTGCACGTTCTCATCTGTTCTGCCTCCTGCTTCTATAGCACATGAATGACTGTGTGTGTTCCTCCACAGCGACCGCTAAGGTTGTGGCATGGGTTACTGTGATGCAGGGTAAGAACTCACCGGAACAGTAATGAGCCTGCAGAAGACACTGCTGATGCTTACACTGTCACACTTTATTGTAGAAACTGTTGTTTCCTTTACATGGATTTTATTTATTCTGTTCAAGGTCCGTCTCTGCTGTCGCTGGTTCGGCCCATCTTCGGTACATGAACACCTGATGCTCTCAGCAGGCTCTCTGCTCATGTCGTGTCTTGTTTGCATATGTTTACGTGGAGCCAAATAGAAATTGTGGCTGCACTGATCTAATCTTTTCCTGTCCAGCTGCTTGCCCAGCAACATCCCTGTGCTTCTAGAATAGAAGAACACCTTGTACACTCGTAGCAGCTTTGAGTGTTGCTTAGCTTGAAGAGTTTCAACCCTGAAAGGAGCAGCATATCTAGAAACTCCGGTGAAGGGTTTCTGTGTCCATCCCTCCAATCACAGTGTGAGAACTCAGCGATTCTCAGCAAACCTCATTATGAGAGAAAGCAGGAATATGCACAGATGGTTGGTGTCTGGCCTGGCAGCAGATCAGAACGCTGTCTTTTACTTTCTCACTATCATTAACAGCTCTTGTGTCTGACTTGTGGACCACATTGGGTAGCATGCTGTCTTTGGCGTATTCACAGCAACACAGTGTCCATGCAGGAGGAGGGAGACATAAATAATATGATTCATGTTTCTGCTCCTCCGTCCATGCTGGAGTAAGGCCTCATAAATAATAGATCTCTGTGTAAATGGAGATCCCTTCTCCATCATCTCCTGGGCTTCAGGAGGATGTCTGTGCCTGAACACGACGCAGGCTGCAGCTTATTTAGCAGCTTCTGTAGCATGTTGGTGGGAGACACAGCGAGAGTGTCTCACCTATGACAGGCTGCAGATGAGCAGCTGAACTGGAGAAAGGCTGACGTGGTGTGTGTTGAACGAGGCGCTGAGTCACATGGACCTCTCCAGCCATCAGCAGAAGAACGCTGAGACAGTGTTCAGTGTCGACCACAGAGTAAAGTCCAGCTCCTGATGTTAATTCAACCCTTATGCAGAACACAACCCTTCTTCTTGTTGAGTTGTTCCAGTGATGTACTGGATCATAAATGAAACTGCAAGACGCGACCTTTCCAATAATGTTAGCTGCTTCTGTGCAACGACATGTTGGAGAGAAAAGTAACTGTACATGTACATCTGATGTAGCCATAGGAACATACAGTACAGTCATGAATCCTGTTTGAACTGTTCACAATTCAAACAAAACAAATATCACAAGACAGAGCAGGACAGGAGCTTTGCACTGATGCCTGTCACGTATTTACTCACACTCAAGTAATTAGATCAAATAAATACAATAAAATAAAGTTAGATGATTTTCAACCCTGGTGAGGATTAGGCTGCGTATAGATAACGGATGGATGGATGAGTCTCAGTGCAGTCACTCAGAAAGATGCATGCAGGTGCAAAAGTAGGTCCTGCATATGAACCCTTGAGTGATGAAAGCAGTGACATGTGTTTCTGTTAGCACACATTTTGCATTTTCCTACCATCCTTGTTGTGATCCTGCCGCTCTGGACACGTTACTCTGCACAGTTATTAGCGATGTCTCCACTGCCAGCATTAAATTTGAGTTCCATTAAAACACTTGTTATTTTATTGTGTTTTATTAAATATTAGGGGTAATAGAGATATAAAAAGCAATTATTCTAATATAAAATGATGGTTAGCCACACTGCTCTGGGAAACAGCAGACAGCTAGTGGTCGCAGTAGCAGATGTACTGAACAGAGCAGAGCTCAGTTAAAGGTAGTGAAATTACAGCCTTGGGCTCGTAAGGCTCACTCTCAGTATGTATATATATGTATATATGTATATATG